CCCCGGCCTTCTCCTCGCGCCCCGCCCTACAGCCAATGGGGGGCGGCCCGAGCGCAGGGGATGCCGGGAAGGGCCCTATAAAAGCCCGGGTGCTATTTACGCCGCGCGGGTTGGGCTGTTGCGCCTGCGCGGTGAGAGCGGGGCCTGCCGCCGGTGGGAGCCCGCGGGGCGGCCCTGGGCCCCTCTCAGGCAGAGAGGGGAACTGTGTGGAGGTGTTCCCCCTGCCCCTGCTTGGCTTTGAGCTGGGTAGACTATGGGGCTCGCTTCGGGTCTAGTAGTGTGTGGCCTGTAGGGGAGCCTTGCTGCTCGGCGCGGCCCCCTGTCCGGGTGTTGCTAGGCCAGGGGGAGGCGGCTGTGGTGGGGGTTGTGGTGTCAGGCTACCCCGTCTGTCTGCAGGCCTTTCAGATGTGCCTGTTGGGGCTGGGAGTTGGTTCCCTGTTTCTTCCAGTCGAGCAGGTAAGCTGTGCTGCTGCCAAAAGCTGAGCAGAACTGGAGGAAGCTGAGGGAGCTGGCAGGGAGCGCAGGAGAGAGCTAGAAGCCTGCTGTGTTTTGCTGTCAGGATCTTCTGAGCATGTCTCTGCTCTGCCTGCTGGGAAGGACTGTCCTCATCTCAGGATGCAGAGCCCCTGTTCTTGATGCGGTGCCTTGTTTGTATGCCACATCATCTTTTGCCTTGTTTCCCTCCTTGCCCACCTGAGAAGGTTGAACAGGTGGAGCCAGCTTTAGGGGGACTCGGACATCACTTTCTGTATGGAGGGGGTTGATGTCAGTCAGCCTCTGCCTGTCTCTCAAACTTCCCTTGTGCAACAGGCACTGTAGCCTTTAGCTGGCATTTGGGGATAGCAAATCTAATCCGGGTTCCCTTGAGGGAAATTGGGTGCTGTGCCAATCCCGGTATGTGATCCTCTTAATAGGTGCCTCTTCCCATCCCCATTCCCTCCTCATTTGACAGCATTTGCATGGACAGCTAACTTTAGACTGACCTTTTTATGTACTACTCTGCTGTCCATAGAGGAAGGAGCTGCTTAACCCCTGTCAGTAAGCCTGTCTCTGGGGCTAGTTTGCTCTGTGGAGTGTTGCAAGGAAGCTGACTTTTAATCAAGCAAACATTTGTTATAAACTGATAAATGTTTTTAATGTGTACAGCTTGGTACTGGTTTTTGACAGACAGTTGGCAGTGTCATGAAGCCCCATGATAGCTTGTCCTGTGGGTTGATGGGTGCGCCTCCACCGCTGACATTACAGGAACATTGAGACAGAAGTTCATTTGTCTGAAGTCAGTAGTGAAATTACCTATGTGGTTTGGACACCAGCATGGTGGGGCTATAACCACAAATCAGATATTCCTAGGTTCTTTTCATAATTCTGTTTTTATTCTTACTGTGTGATAGAGATCCTTGTGGTCTATTACTACTTTCATGGTCCATTGGGAAGTCTGGCCTTTGTTTACACAAGACTGTTGGGTGTTTTGATCGCTCCTTTTCCTAGAACAGTATCTCCTTGCCTAAGGCAGAGAGCTCTTTGGATGGGTCTGTGGCCCCAGGTCCTGCTCTCTCAGGTGAGCTCTGTTCAAGTGGGCATCATGTTAATCAAAGTGCTTTGGGAGCTGCTTTGTTCCAGTTTGGTAAATAGATAGCTTTTAATGGACCAAGAGTTTTCATTTTTGTGAAGATGGTAGCCAACAAGCTTTGCTACCAGCTGTGAGGATCCCCAGTCTGACGCTCTGTAATCACACCCTTTGATGGTGTCTGTAGTGGTAACTTGCCACATTCTGTTATCTTTGTCTCTTATGTGTGTCATGGTTCAAAACAAAGTCTTCATCCTGACTTTCATGGTACAGCAGGACCCCACTAGGTGCCAGCTTCAAGGATGGGAAGGTAAGTAGAGAAATATAACTCTTCTTACATGACATGTGGAGATGTCATTTATGAATTAAAGGAATGTATTCTGAAACAGTTTGGTCATCATTGTCACATGGGTTATATTTTTCACTCAGGCTATACACTTGATTGAAGAGTAAATGTAGTTTTTGTGCTAGGAAACTAGAAGAGCTTACTTCTTATGCCACAGCAGGACATTATTCAGCAAAACTCATTCTGTATCTTACCCGCTCAAATGCTTTCTGTTAGTTAATTGTATCATAATTGGGTTTTATAAGTTTTTTTTCTAGGTACCATTCCCAGTTTCCAGACCTGCTTATCTACGGAATAGGATAGTATGTCGATGTTTTCTTTGTTTTAGAGCTGTAAGATGAGCAGGGTTGAAACATCTGTCTACCCCAGGAAAAGTGTATTTGTATGATGGTGGTGTGTGTTTTTTTTTAAAGAAAAAAAACAAACACAAATCCCCAACAACTTGGCTTTACAAGCTGATTTGGATATTCAGCTCCTCTTAATGTCATAAACTTTCATCTGAACCCAGGCTGCTCAGATTCATAAAGGATGAAAATTAGCAGGTCAAACCCTCTCCAAGCATGTTAGGTGTCTTCCTAGGTTCCTCACATGTGGCCTAATTAAGCAAATGGGAACTCTCCCAATGGTGCCAGTATTAAAAAAAAAAAAAAAGAAAAAACAGCAGAGTCCAAACCAAAAGGAGATCTATTTCTTCCATTTAGGACGTCATTCTTCCTTTCTCCCCAGTCTACAAAGCATTTAGGCCAAGTGCAGGTGTTGATGAAGTCAGTTTTTGACCTGTCTCACAGGTAAAGAAGCCTGAAGGGCAAGTCACCCGTCTCAAGTCCTAGAGGAACTGGCCACCCAGGAAGCCAGTCCTTCAGCATCCTCCTTCCCCGTTGCTGTAGCAATTAACCCACTTGTGGCTCTCCACAGGCGCTGGCTTGCAGATGGGTGTTGTGTTGATCAGTGTTGCTATCGTGATAGCCCTAACGAGGGGGAGAACTCCGGCACTTCTGGGGATTTTCACAGAACAGGGAACTGCCCTTCCTCAGGGAGAGGGAAATCCAAAGCCTCTGATTTGCAGGGAGGGATCAGAAGCTCCAAAAAGTCGCTGGCCTCTAGTCAAATACAGGTTCTTAGCCATGGTTGGAGAAATTAAGCCTGCGAGCCCCTGCTCAATGCAGTTGAAGCATATGAGACTGGCACAGGTTTGCTCGTGGTGTAGGCACCTCCTAGAGGCATTAGTCAGGCTTCCCTGGCCCGGGGAGCAGACAGCTCTGTTGCAGGACTGCTGGAGGAGAAAGCAGCTCTCTGTTCCCGCCAAGAGAAACCCTGGTACAGAAACCATTGAGGTTCAGAGGAACATAGCCATTCCAAGAACAGCTTGGATCTTGAAGCTTATCCCCTGCCTCCCCAGGCACAACAAGCACTCCTTAAAATGTTACAGCGAAGTGATCAGAAATCTTTGTGTCCTGTAATCCCTGTCCAAGTGCAGGATCTTCCCGGTCCCCCCACGTGAAGGTGATTTATTACCTGAACTGAAAGTTTCTCTCACATCCCTGTCCAGGAATGTGTATCCAGAAGTCTGTGCCCCATAGGGACTCTGGCTGGCTCTTGGGCATGACAGCTCCAGACAGCAGTGACTTTCACAAGCTCATCCCTTAATCCTAGTGTGACCCACCTTCTTCCTCTCACAAATAGGGCACAAGCAGCTCCTCATGCAGTTCTAAAAACCTTTCTTCTATTTCCTTATGATTTTCTTTTTGTTGCAAGTCATTCATTTTTCTGCACAATTCTTTTAACTTGTATCTCAGTTGAAAGCTGCTTTGAATTTCAATTCACAATTATTTAGCTTCTTTCACACCAATGTAGCATCTTTGCTTTAAGCTTGTAGATGGCATTCTGTTGGCTTTAAGCGCACAGTAGCTGCTATGGCAAGAAAATGCAATGAAAGTAACTTTACCATGTGGTATGTGCAGAGAGACTTCATTGAATAAAAACCCCTGTCAGAAAAGTCTATAGTTTGACTAGCAGACAGCAAGAAAGTCCAGTGAAGTTCAGTTCATGCTCAAAGACCAAATTTATCCAGAACTTTGAAATTTAAATGGAGCAGAACAGACAAAATTCAGAGATGTTTAGTAAGATCCAGCAATAACTCTACTATAAGGAAATTATGCTTTCTAAAACACTAGAATATAGAGTAGAAAGGGAATAGAAGATTTTAATTGTACAGCAAGACGTTAACTCTTTTGTGCACTTTAAGATAATCAGATTGTTTTCCTCCTGTTTTCTGAATTTAGAACTATTTGGAAGAGCTCTAGTGAATTATACTGAGAGAAAGTGAAATAAAAACCAGTTTCCCTTCCTATTTTTAGAGGGTAAACTGAACAGAATATATTGATGCAACTCGATCCTGAAATAAATTAAATTTTCCCACCCTTTTACTAGTATTTTAAAAATGTGGTTTTCTGTTAAGTGCCCCCCCCCCTTCTGTTTTTTGTTTCAAGAACTGGAAGAAAAGGCCTTAAACTGTCTGCCCCATTCCAGATACAAATCTGCATGAGGCACAAACGTCCAGCACATGCAACGCTCTGCTTGTATCCCAGGCTGGCTTGTCAGCGGGGGGAAGACATCAGGGATGACATCCTACTGAGACTCAATATTCATATGTAATTTCAGCCTGCCTTTAAATGCTTAGTAAATCCACTATTTTTCTTACGTGCAGGAGGGAAGGACTGGCGGATACCCCCTCAGAGTGAAACATGCTGTAGCTGAGCAGCAAGGACAGACCTGCCGGTGACCTACAAGAACCTCCAGTCTCGTCTGAGCAGGACAGTGCCTCTGCTCTGCTCCCTTCCTGCCCTCTGCTGCTGCACTCTGGAGAAGCCAAATCACAGAAGGACCACAGGAGGACACCTGGTGTGTGCTTATACAGCTGGAAGGGGAAAGAAGTCCTGGCCTTGCCCTGCTACTGGATGAAAGGTTTACCCCAAATCAGCTGCAACCGGGCAGGGTGAGAACTGAAGCTTTAGGAGCACTCAGTGCATTTGGATGGGTGGTCCTGTACCGCCAGGGAACTGTCCTGGAGACTCCCCCTACCTACACGCAAAAATGAGAGAAAATGCACAATATACTCCGTTGCTCAAGTCCCCTGCTCCAAGTGACAGATTTCTAGGCTGCTTTTAGTGCCTTCTGCCGGAGGAGGGCGCTGTCAGATCAGCATTGAACTGCTCAGCAAGCGAAGATGCCCACCTGGGAACTGGTTAAACTGAGTGGCCCACTGACTTGCAGGAGGTGGACACTAACCTGAAAAGCACTTACATCTTTTGCTTTAACTGCACGTACGGGGTGTTTTGTGTCCCTGTACGATGAAAACCACACTAACTTGTCTGCTGGGACAGTGGGAGCAGCAGGCCTGAGAAGCTGCTCAGAGGTGGCACATTTGGCAGTGGAGTCTTGCACTTCTTGTTGTTGGGGCAGTGGCCCCCTCCCTTGCACCCAGAGCCCCTGGAAAACTGCAGCCTGTGCAACACCTTCCTGCTAAAGGCTAGAGAGAGAGCACCCTCCTCTGCATCTGAGTGATGCAAGCAGCCCTTTTATCCAGGATACCTGCCGGGCAGTAGAAGCAGGCAACCAAAAAGCTAGGTTAAACTGGTCTGAGGTTGACTCAAGCCAACGTGGACTGGTCTGAAGTGGAATAACAACCTCATCCCTTCTGCTGTTTCTACTGGTACAACTCGTCAGTAGCCTTCCTGCCTCAGCCAGTAGCAGTGTGACAAAGTATGGCTTAATTACAACCCTGAAATAAAGGGAATTTCTTTATTAGATGTTGCTCTACGGCTGCATCAGTCGTTTTCTGTCCAGCTGCTCGTGGCAGAGCTCCAAGTGGGCTGAATCGTGCTGGTTTGGCAGGTATGTGGGGGGGTTGGTGGTGGTTTGAGCGCGCAGCTGGGCAGAATGGGGCTCTGAGTCAGAAGCTCCCGGTGACGTTGCTAAATTCAGTTTGCCACAAAGGTCTTTTTCTACTTCATACTGGAGCTGTCTTTATGCAGTCTTTCTGCCTTCAGAAATATGGCTCGGACCCAATTCTTGCGAGTCATGTGCATTCATTCGTTAGCCGTTGGAAAAAGGCAAGTGAGAAAAAGTGGTGGCTGTGTTACGTGTTTGTGGACTGGTTTCCACCACGTTTGTCTTCTGACAGCACTTAGGTGACAAAGATTGAAAGTCAAGGGAGCCTGTCTTCCTACCCAGGATATTGTGCTTTATTTCTCCAGCCATGGAGATAATCCTTTTGTCAGATGACTTGATTTTAAATTGCAGTGAGACCCTGAACTGATGATTTAGGAGCATATGCTGCCTTTGTTGTAATCCTGATTTTGATGCGTTGCCTTGTGCCCAAGAAAGATGGATTGTTACTTGGCTAAGGCTAAATGAGGAGGTAATACCAAATGCTATGTGAAACAGAATCTCTTTCCAGCCCCAGTCAGTCCTCCAAATCTGGATCATCTTTCCCCAAGGTGCTGGTGCTAGAAATCAGCAGCCTTTCCTCCACCTCAATGGACCCACCAGTGTCAGCTTAGTGCTAATGGTTCTGAGCTGGTCTGAATTCATGGTAAATCTTGCCTGTCTTGTACAGCAGTGACTGACTCACATCAGCTCACTTGATCACTTATTCCTGGAAAATAACACTCAAATTTGCCAGAGAACTGTCCCTGACACACTGGAATGTTTGTGAATTCAAAGCTTTTGCAGCTCAGAATGGCAATTTCTGCAAGTTTTCCTCTAAAATTGTTCATATTGAAATGTGGGGATTGTACAGAGTCTCGCTAGACTCTTCAATTGACTCTTCAATTTGAAATTGATCACTCGGACCAACAGGAGCCTTTGTTCCAGGCAACTTTTCTCAGATTAATGTACAGTCACATAAAAACCTCCCTAAGAAAAAGCAAGGCATAAACCTGGGACTTAATCTCTCCATTTCATGCTAAGGTTTTTTTTTTTAAGAATATTTTAGCTTGAGTAACTCAGGAAAGGGCCATATGTATCTGGAAAAAAATGTCTTTACCCAGTGATGGACTTAATGCAATCCTTTTATGTTCTTTGGGGTTTTTTTTTGGTTTTGGTTTTTTTTTGTTTTGGTTTGTTTTTTTTTGGATAAGAGGCAAAAGGTGCAGGAGCAAATACTGCAGAGACATAAGACTTCCCTTCTCATGTGGAAGGAGCAAAGGTTTCATAGTTAAACAGGGAAAAAGGCTTGCTTTTAGGCTTCTGAGTTTTAGCACAAGTCTCTGTGGGACTGGCCCTCCCCAGCCTCTGCAGAATGTTGCATTTCTTCACAAGAACAGGGCTTTTGCTGGTACTGGAGTGAACAGAGAAAAACATAGGGGATGTGCTTGGGGCAAGGGGGAGCAAACTGGATGTCACGTGTGGATGGCTCTGAGTTAACTACTGCCTCTGTGTACCTCTGTCATTTCAATATGCTTAATAAGGCCATATCCCAGGGCTGAAGACCCTCCTGCCCTCTCAAAACTTCAGAGGGACTCTATAAGGTTAGCTCAGACATGGCTAAGCTGATCCCTAAATGGCAACAAGGATCAGTTACATCTCAGAACTGCCTCATAAACGTCTAAAATCTTGGGAAATTGATTTACCTGCAAAAGCCAGGACAAAATACGCAAAGTTAAGCCAAAATATCATTTTGTTATTTGGAGATTCACCTCAACTCAATTTCTGACTTCACAGATGAGAGTAGCAGTTTCTAAAAAATAGCCTGGTCAGAAGAGCTGCCAATTTTCAGCAGAAAATGTGCTTTAGCAGTTTACATGCTTTCTGCTCAATTGGTCCCTTATGCCTAGGCTGTTTTGCACTCAAGTGTCACAAAATACTTGTGACAACCCATTACACATTTGTCCACCACTGCTCCTCTCTCTTTCCTCTGAACTGTATCTCAGTCCTTACCCTTTTCCAGCTTTTTCTATTGAGACTGCAACAAAACCCAGCGATTCTGAGCTGTGACCTGCACCCCAGTTAGATTTTTTTTTCCAGCGGTCACCAAAATGGGTGAAAGTCTCTCCATTCCGTGACCTGCACCCCAGGTAGATTTTTTTCCAGCAGTCACCAAAATGGGTGAAAGTCTCTCCATTTTCCTTAGATATCTGTGCCTGAGTTAGTTGTCTAGATTCCTAATGTAGAAAGGCAGAGATGAAACTGAGGCATGGTTTGCCTTAGCCTAAAATAGGAATAGGCCTGGAGGGACCTTTGTGACTGAGCTGGAACCAGCGCAGCTGCACCTTAACCTACATCCATGATCTACCTAAAACTAATTGAGTTGACGCCAGTCCCAGCTCATGCAGCTAGATGGCAAGTAGCTCGTTCAAGTCTCACTGTTGTTACCGGTCTCATCCCTAAAGAGCGCAGGTATCTTGTATGGAGGTCTCCAGTTTAGAAATACACACTGGTTGCAGTGGGAAGGGACCTCTGGAGGCTCTTTCCAACCCCCCTGCTCCAGCAGGGCCACCTGGAGCTGATATTCCAGGACCATGTCCAGGTGGCTTTTGAAGATCTCCAAGGATGAAGACTCCACAATTTTCCTGGGCAACCTGTGCCAGCGCTTGGACATTCTCACAGTAAAAACCTGTGTGTTGACGTTCAGAAGGAACCTCTTGTGTTTCAATTTGTGCCCATTGCCCCTTGTCCTGTCACTGGGTATCACTGACAATAACCTGGCTCCGTCCTGTTAGCACCCTCCCTTTACATATTTATATACATTGGTAAGATCTCCCTGAGCCTTCTCAAGTCTTAACAGTCCCAGCTCTTTCAGCCTCTCCTCATAGGAGAGATGCTCCAGTCCCTTAATGACTTTAGTGGCCCTTTGCTCGCAAAGTATTTTTTCAAGACAGTTTTTTCGCAGGAAGGAGATGAAAATCTTAAAACAAAAATATTTTTCAACTTTAAATTTGGAGTTGTCATTGTAATGTAATTCTTTACACAGCTGCCAGAGAGGTTTTTAAAAGCACTTTTTACACGTCATTAAAAACAGGAGTACGACATGGCTATAAGAAATTCATTTTCTGGTTTTGAAGCTAGCAATTAAGGCTGGGACAAATGTTCATGCTTGTTGTTCCTTCTGCAGTCGCTCTTGTAAAACTAAAGAACCACCATTGACATGAAAGCTCTGTTGGTGTCATTACCGCTGGGCTGCTTTGCTTTGTGGAACGTCAGCTCCTCTCTGGTTAGACTGCAGTTGTGTAAGGCTCTTAAAATCCTGTTGAAATCCCTGCAGCCTGTTAGGGGATCCCTCATTAGAAATGCTGGATGACAGGCTGAAGTGTCACTCGCTGTAGAGAATGAGGTTGTTGACAAGACCGCATTAAACCCAGCGCAGTTTGCAAGCGCAGTTTGCAAGCCCGAGAGACAGAGCGTAGCGTGTTTGTGCTTCCCTTCTTGTTTCTGTCTGGATGGAAAACGGAAAAACACTCTCTGGGTAAAATCTCTCATGTTTTCAGCAAGAAAAAAATCTAAACTTAATTTAGACTTCATGTACAAGAGAGGAGGCTGGGAAAAAAGACAGAAAAGCCTAGTTAGTAGATGTGTATTCCTCTGTAGCTCAAAGACAATGTCACATCATCCTCAGGATGAAGAAGGAAGTACACGATCACTGCTAAGATGATGAAAGTTGAAGGCATACCCCAGGAGGAGAAATTAAGAGATTATTTCAGTGTGTCCCTATAAAATAAGTTTTCCACCAGGCAAAGTTGTGTATAGCCCTGTTCTTCATATGTATGTGATACACTGCGGTAGGAGGTACCAATATTCACAGCCCAGGTAAAGGGAGATACTGCCCTCTGGATTGAACACAAACATCTGTGAGAAGCATCACTACTGATTTGAGCAGAACAGAGATCCTTTCTGAGCACTGGCCCCTGCCTGCCATCACGGGAGGAATTTGACCAGACCTGTTTGGTCATGAGTCAAAGTTGCGCACTCTAGTTCCAAACTACTGGAACTATTGAGATTTAAACTGAGATTTTTTATCTCAGTTTAAGATGATTTTTCAGGGGAGCTCAAGATGAATAATGCATCCCTCCAGACTCGTTAAGTGATTCTTTTATTCACAGAAAATCAAAGTGATGTACAAATGTGATTGCTGGCCTTGGGGAGGGGAGTCTGGATGTCTGCTTATCATTCACAGTAGCTACCAGAGGTGATGTGACATCTGAAAGGAAGAAATGAAAGCTCCATCACAATTTGTTAAATAAAAACCATCTTAGTATCTCGCTAAATAATTGATAATCAGAGGTGCAGAATTCTAATCTGCTGTTCAGTGCTTCAATAGCAAAAGGAAGAGCTCATAGGCTACAACCTTCAGAAGTTTTTCTTCCATAACTTCATGAAAATTTGCTTGTAGTATCCATGGAAATTCCCCATGACAGAAGTCAGGATTAAGACAAAGGGCCTAGCAAAATACCTGGAGGAATCTGTCTAATTCTATGCATCTCTCTTCTAAAATATTGTCAAAATGGAATAGGTGTAGAAAAGGGGAATGGAGAGTGATTTCTAAGAACACAGATTATTCTTTTTTGTAGTTTATCCCAGCAAAATGAAAGGATAATGAGATGTTCACCCCTAAAATAATAAAACGCACCAGAGACTGAAATCAATATACACACAAGAAGAGATAGGTACACACTTGTTCTAAATAAAAGTGCATTGGGAACCTTCTACTGACCCCCATCTCTCCAAAGGAAGCGTTTGGAAATGTTGTCGAGAGCCTGATGGGTGGGATCACGCAAGGCCAGCCTGCCCACATCTGCTCCTGCTCACAGCC